CCCCAAAACCCCAAAACCCCAAAACCCCAAAACCCCATGCGTTCAAATCTGCATCTATTTGCTTTCTATCCAGAATAATTAAGAAAATTAATTTATATATTGATAACCGAAATAATGGCAAGCAAATATCGTAAGAAGTTTACTCTACCAGAAAATGCCTATAAGATTCTTGAGGATTACACAAGAGAAGTCTTAAGAGATTAGCCCAAGGACATCTTAGAGTTCAGCTATTTGTACTTCAAAGCTCTTGAAGAGGTATTACCTAATAGTCGTTGTATTTATCATTTATATAGGGAAAATTAGAGGAATTTGATTATCATAGAAAGGGAGAGTCTATTCCACCCCCTAAGCTTAAACCATAAGATTAGCAAAACTTTGATGGCCAAGGGCCAGATATGCAAAATCAAGGGTATGAGGGTGAAGATAACTAAGAATATGATCCAAACCAGCAAGAAGATGGAAATGCTTACGAATAGAACGACTATGGCAACGAAGGAGATGATGATCAGCAATAATAAAGATTTGTGGATGATGAAGGCAATGAAATTCCACAAGAGGAAGTAGAAGCATACTTGCGCGCTCAGCAAGAGTAGATGCAGTTCTAGGAAGATGATCAAAACTATGGAGAGGAGAATGATTACGGCCAGGAATAGGATGAGTATTGAGGATTTAACTCTGGTTATGAGATCAATGATATATAGACTTACATACATTTAAACTGAGCTTTTAATAATAAATTTTGAATTAATTTAAATTAAAATATAAAAGTCTCTATGAATTCATCAGAGAAAAAAAGTCAGACAAGAGGTCAATAAGACTACTATAATAGCATAGATCTGGCTAAATAAAGAAGAAAAACTAGTCCATTTGGCAAGGATCATCCAGGTATGATTCTTATAATTTAAAATTTATGCTTTATCGTTGAATAGATTACCTTGATATGCCATTTCAATTCGAAGATAATGATTACGAGTTCCAGACTGAGCAAGTTGACTACAAATCATCCATTGTAGAAGCTAATCAGAACTCTCTTAATTCCTTAGCTCAAACATCCTTGAACCCAACTTAGTCAAAGCCAAGTATTTAGCAAAAGTAAGGTTATGACACAGAAACATTTTACTAATCCCCAGTAGCTAACTAATTAAACTTTGACTATGAGAATTATGCTAACTAGAATGAAATCGACCGCACTGCAACTCTCAATAATCATAAATATAAATCTATGTCCACGGAGAATCTTTCTCATCATAATAAGTATTAATCAAGATAAAATAAACTTGATACTATTCATGAAAACTCGAAGAATGAGTCTGTTCAAGTTGAAGATCATGAGAATAGAATGTTATTGAATTAGGAGCCTCTGAAAAGTGAGCCATTCAGTGAAAATGGAAGAACAGTGACATCTGAATTTGCCTAAATGTACCTTCAACCCTTAACCAAAGTCTCTTCTTCAAATGTTATAGGCTCAAATCATAATAATACAGAGGGTGAGATAATTTAAAATAGTCAATAGACTGTCAGACATAATAATATTAACTTATTCAATTACTAGTAGAATCAATCTAGTATGAGAGCAAATCAATCTCATCAACTGATAGTAATGAGTGAAAGTAGCTAGGGTTAGTTAAGAAATATAAAACAAACATCAGCAATAAATACTGGATCATCTTAGCCATATCTAAAAATCTAATATATTCCTACAGACTCTAATAGGTAAATGAATACTAGTTATGGATAGGGATAAATTAGAATGTAAAGACACAATAATCTGAATTTTATTCCACATGAAACTAATGTCTCTTAATTTACAGAGGATGAATTTTTGACTAGTCTTTCAAATAAATATACAACAACTTTAAATGAAGGGCAATAATAACACTACGACGGAGAGGATGACGATTATTTGCTTATAGATCAAAATTATGACTTAGATAACACTAGATTCAGAGAAAATCTTACAGTTTTGTACCAAAAACGACTTCAAAATGCTAGTTCTATGGTTGAATCTCTAAGTTAGTAAAAAAATAAAGTCCTGTCATGGTTGAGATATCTTCAAGATCTTTAGCGGTAACTTTAATAAAACTAAATATAAGCAGAAAATGAAATTAGATTGAAAAAGTAGCAGCTTCTTCTTGAAATTGAAAGATTATATGAAAGTGCAATGAGAGATATTAACCTTTAAACAAAGATTAAAGGAGATTAGATAGCAGATAAGATGCAAGAGGTTAGGGATTATTAAGATTAAGTTGAGCAAACCATTGATATGATTAAACTAAAGATCAAAGGCTCCAACCAGTAAAATTTTGTTCTGAACTACATAAACACAATGAGAGAAGGAGAAAATGTGCTCAGTAAAAACATAAGGGTAGATCATACTTTTGAACAACTTGTAACAGAATTGAAGATAAAAGCACCATTTTTTAACTACTTTATAAGTTAGAAGAATCATAGAGGAGAGCTAGTAAGTGTAAGTATGAGCTTAATGAGAGGTGCATCTAAAGAGAAATCTTATGTAAGTCATCTAAATGAAACTAAGGGAGGCTAGCAAAGAAATGCATCCAGTTAATTTAGGAATCAAAAGACTAATACAAATGAATCAATTGACGGGGACAGAGTATCAAGTTCAAACAGAGTGCAAAACAGTTTCATTAATCCTAATTCTAATTCAAAACAATTCTAAAAGACTCAGCAAGAGTATTATACAGGAAAAGAGAAGCAAATGACAGGAAGAACAGGAAGTATGACTCATATCTATAAGCTTCCTCCAAGGTAGACTAAGGAAAACAATAGTAAACTTTCAAATAAGGATAAAAATGTAGATATCAGAGAGGAAGTAAATAATTAATCTTAATTCAGCACTATTAATTAAAGGGAGACATTTACTCCTAATAATAAAAATAAAAATGAGTCTAAAATTTGGAATGTCAACTCAAGTGAAAAGAAAGACAATCTTATTTAGGCCAAGCAGAAAATATTTGATAAAATAGATGAGCTAGAAAAACTTATTAATCAAAAGTCTATTTCTTAAGAGCCAACTAATCGCAGAAGAAAATCTTCCAATAAAAAGAAATCTACTAAATCAAGAGTTGATTAAAGATAAAAAGATTCTCATTCAAGCGTTGGAGGTAGATAATAATAAGTAGTTCCATCTCTATTACTTCCTAATTCTCAAAATTAGACTATTGAAAACACTAAATAGTACTCTTAATAGATCTCATATAACTAAGCTAAGCATAAATTTTAATCGGACAACTTTGAGAGCAACATTAACCCTATGATAAATGTAGATTCTCGTATTCAAAATTTGGATTCAGTTCCAACTACTAGAAATCATATGATTTATTTGTCTCCTCTTCATTCAGAACCCCTAGAACAATAAAGTTTTACAAATTAGGCTGACTAGACCTTTTCTCCAAATAAAGTCTCTACTCAAAAGAGTTTTAGTTTTAAATAAGGACTTTCTTCTTATAAGTCTTCAAATGCTAATTCAACAGCTACTTTGAATATTACAGATCTTTAAAATCAAAAGATCAGATTGTATATTCCATTCGGCTATCCACCTTATTCTTGCTTCTATTTGGTACACTTACATTAATCAGTATTAGCTTCGGATATCCTTGAGTACCTTTTAAGTCATTTAAATATAGATTATGAGAAACAAGGTTTATACTAATTAGGCTATAAATTAGACTAAAATTCGCCTGTTATTTAGTTTTAGCAGTAGGAGAAGCCAATAAAAACCTTAATGGAAAGATTGATGGGTTAAAAACAATAATTTGGGCACACTTTTAAAACTTTTGATAGTTCAATTGACAAAAGATGGCCTCGTATATACCTATTAAATAAGCAAGAGAATTTTGATCTCTGAGAGTCGCTTTTAATAATTAATTCAAATATTCAACTACCTTACCAATATTATACTCCCGGGGTTTTGGGGTTTTGGGGTTTTG